GAAACAAATGTGGAAGATTATAGGGAAATCCATTTGGGGATGTGAGAATAAAATAGAATACTTTTCTTTTTAGTGTATTTGATCCTAGAGGTCTTGACCCAAATTAAGGGCTCAGTTTTCCTGGCAGAATCTAGAACAACTGAAACTTCATCTGCCATGTGCAGTTTTTATTGAACAGAAGAGAAAGAAACAGAGCTCTCTTACTCACTGTATGGCCTTGAAAAAGTCCCTTATCTTTTTTGGGCCTCCAAATTCCGAGTAAGAAATTAAAGGATTATAAATGCCATTATTTACACAAATAGATTTGTTCATTGTTAGATGTATTAGGCAAAAGAGAGGTGACCAAGGCTGATTGTGAGCTTCCTTCATCATAGAGATTTAACAAAATATCAGATTCCCATTAATGTTGGTAGACAATGAAGCTGTATACTGTAGTAGAAAGAATATGGGCTTCAGAGGCAGACAGACCCTTGTTGGAAATATGCCTCTGCCAATGACCAGCAGTGTGGTCTTGAGCAAGACAGCCTTCCAGGTTCTCAATTTCTTCCCTTTCACAGTGGCAATAGTAGACAGCTCAAAGAGAAGCCTTGAGGATCGATTACGTAACATCTGCCAAATGCTCAGGGGAGTGCCTGGTTTATCTCAAGGGCCCAATAAATAATAACCATGTAGGATATATAGTCAGCTTGGGTGGTTGTGATCCAGTGGTTAGTAAAGTAGGAACAGACCAATGTCTGTGTCAGCCTGTTTCTTACATAAGGCTTAATGACAGCCCCATTTGTTGAGACAAGTTGAATAATCTGCAAAGCTTACAAAGGATCTTTCCTGGAAGTTGAGACCCTTTTCCTCTAGTTGTGTTTTCCACCACCCCCCCGCCCCCAGCTCTAATTGCCTCCCTGGAGAAAATGTAACACACTGAAATAAGCTTCAGGAGGTTCTGCATTAGAATATAGGAATGGATGGTAAAAGATCACAGGGTAGGACGGTGAAGTGCTTTGAGACACAGTGAGGCTAGATGTGTCTGGGACAGGTTGGGCTACAGGAGAGCTGGTCAAGACCGGTTAGTGGGCCAACTTCATCTCACCTGAGGAAAGAGTCAGTGATGCATGCAGTGCCTATTGGCTTCAAAGCTCCTTTAATTAGTAATAAAAGCACATATTGGGCTGGGCGAGGTGGCTCACGCCTGTAATCCCAGCACTTTGGGAGGCTGAGGTGGGCAGATCACCTGAGGTCAGAAGTTTGAGACCAGCTTGGCCAATATGGTGAAACTTCATCCCTACTAAAAATATAAAAAAGTAGCCAGGTATGGTGGTGCATGCCTGTAATCCCAGCTACTTGGGAGGTTGAGGCAGGAGAATCACTTGAATCCAGAATGCAGAAGTTGCAGTGAGCCATGATCATGCCACTGCACTCCAGTGCACTCCAGCCTGGGCAACAGAGCAGACTCCACCTCAAAGAAGAAGAAAAAAAAAAAGCACATATTGTTGGGAAAAGATAACATTTTAATCTGCATTTATTATCTAAATCTCAATTGAATGAATGTTTTTACCATGGTGCCCAATGACAAATTGTTGAGCTATTTTGATTCAGTCATGGACTCTGGGGTATATTTGGTTATTCTGAGCCTTGAAACAGTTTAATTCTTCTTAGATCAGCGCATAGTGACCAGAAAAAAAAACTTCTATATCCAAATAGGTTAAAAGATCACCTCCAGAGATTGTGACATTCTTTTCTATAAACCAGCTCTTGGGATTGACCCTGACCTATAGAGCTGTTTTTCTTTTTTTTGAGACAGAGTCTCACTCTGTCGCCCAGGCTAGAGTGCAGTGGTGTGATCTCTGCTCACTGCAGCCTCTGCCACCCAGGTTAAAGTGATTCTCCTGCCTCAGCCTCCTGAATAGCTGGGACTACAGGCGTACACCACCACACCTGGCTAATTTTTATATTTTTAGCAGAGACTGGGTTTGGCCATTGTTGGCCAGGCTTGTCTGGAACTCCTGACCTCAAGTGATCCACTCACCTTGGCCTCCCAAAGTGCTGAGATCACAGGCGTGAGCCACTGTGCCTGGCCAGCTGCTTTTTAAAACAAGTCAAATGTATCCATTTTTTTCTTGTTTGACTTTTGGGTTTCCAGTTTTGTTCAAGGTCTCCCTCTGCTTCTAGGTCATATATGTAGTCTTCAAGGTTTGAGTTTTTAATACACCTGGAATTAATTTTTTTGGTAAATGATGTAATATATGGATCCAATTTTATTTTCATCTGGATGTATAGTGAGAGCTTCAATTTATAATTATTTCTCTTCAAAAATTTCTACTTTGACATTTTCAAAACTACATATTAGTTTGATAGTACACATATAGAATTTAGGAATAAATACACATAAATATGTCAGAGCTATGTACTCGAATACATATGTATAAAGCTGAAAGTGTTGCTTGATCCAAAAGTTTTGAAATCCAGTGCTTCTTGAGCTCTTTAGACCATGAACTCCTTGAGGGCAGGGCTTGTGATTTTCCTTACCTTTGAATCCATAGTTAAGATTGTCTATGGCACATTGTAGTGTTCAAAATAATTAAATGAATGAAACTGCCAGTATCTGAATCATGTCTTAAGCAACACAGCTATTGAGAAATGACATTCCAGTGTCCTGTGGGAAGATACCTGAGGCTAGGAACAAGCAATGACTCACAATGGAAGGTAGTATAACCTCACTGGTGTCAAGTTTAGACATTTTAATACAAGAATACAAATTCTTAAAATTTTTAAATACCTCCCTATGGCTTATAATCCCTATGTGCTTAGGAAACTGGTAATTTTTTTTTTTTGTGAATACACCCCCTGCTTCTTAATAGCAGTCATCTATTCTGTAATGGCAGTGTGCAGGAAGAATTAGCTTTCTCAATACTTTAACGGCAGAAGCATGATTATATTTAATATTTATTTATTTATTTATTTTGAGACAGAGTCTTGCTCTGTCTCCCAGATTGGAGTACAGTGGCGCGACCTCGACTTACAACCTCCGCCTCTCGGGTTCAAGCAATTCTCCTGCCTCAGTCTCCGGAGTAGCTGGCATTACAGGCGCCTGCCACAACGCCCAGCTAATTTTTTGTATTTTTAGTAGAGACAGCTGGCCAGGTGCCGTGGCTCGCGCCTGTAATCCCAGCACTTTGGGAGGCTGAGGCGGGCGGATCACCTGAGGTCCGGAGTTCGAGGCCAGCCTGACCAAAATGGAGAAACCCGGTCTCTACTAAAAATACAAAAATTAGCCAGGTGTGGTGGCTCATGCCTGTAATCCGGGAGGCGGAGGTTGCGGTGAGCCGAGATCACGCCATTGTACTCCAGCCGGGGCAAGGATGGAAACTCTGTCTAAAAAAAAAAAAAAAAAATAGAGATGGGGTTTCACCATGTTGGCCAGGCTAGTCTCGAACTCCTGAACTCAAGTTATCCACCCACTTCGGCCTCCCAAAGTGCTGAGATTACAGACATGAGCCACCACACCTGCCGTCCTAATATATTAACATTAACAAAAATAGCAAGTTTAATTTCCCTTTTTTTTAGTTGTTTTTAATAACTATACTGAAGAAACTTACTCAACCAAATGGGTTATGTTTAACCTGGCTGTACCCTTTGGACTTTTTTTTTTTTTTTGGCGACAGTCTCGCTCTGTTGCCCAGGCTGGAGTGCAGTGGCGCAATCTCGGCTCACTGCAACCTCAGCCTCTCAGGTTCAATTGATTCTCCTGCCTCAGCCTCCCAAGTAGCTGGTATTACAGGCGTCCGCAACGACGCCCGGTTAATTTTATTTATTTATTTATTTTTTGTAGAGACAGAGTTTCACCATGTTGGCCAGGCTGGTGTCGAAATCCTGACCTCAAGTGATCCACCCGCCTCGACCTCCCAAAGTGCTGGGATTACACGTGTGAGCCACCGCGCCAGGCCTATTTGTTTTCTACTTAGCTTATTTTGCTCCCCTTTTGAGTTCATTGGAAGCAAGAAGATAACCGAGAACAAGGGAACGGAAAGAAATTAAAGAAGCTGCTTGGTTTTTAAATTCACTTACGAAGTGTAGGAGATACTAGCATTGAATACAATCTGGGATATTTATTGTTATTTACACTCCTTTCCTATTAGAGGCCTCTCATATTCCTTCTGACTTTAACACATGAGCTACGTGGCCGAATCAAACTCTTATAGAGCGAATCCAGAATCTGTTCATTGGGGTTATTGATTGCAAATGGATACATTATTCTCAAAGATCTGCCTGCGGGTTAAGAGTAGGTTAATATTTAGATAAATTAAAAAATAAAATAAAATCTATGCCAAAAGAAAACAAAAACTTCAAGTGACTGCCATCCATAAAACAAGTATATAAATCCTTACAAGTATATAAACTACATAGAAGACATTTTAAAATGTGAATGAGAAGATTCTGATCATAAATTCCTTACAAAAAAAAAAAGAAAACTTCTCCAAAATAAATTGCTACTTAAACGAAAACTGTACTTTGCGTCTTTCAAGCTGCTAGGGAGACAGTGGACACCAAAAAGAAATAAACGAAAATCCAAGGAATGCCTAATGTAGTGCTAACGTCCACAGTAAAACACAAAACAAAAAAAAAATTATGAATTAAGACTCACAGAACCGAATAAAATATTAGGTATTGCCTTTATTAGAATTGCAAGGGTTGCTAAAGAAGAAATACTCAATTTGAATTACCGAATGCAGTACCGGTGAAGTCCTACCGGCCCCGGAAGGCTGGGAATTGAGGTTGTCAAAGTGCGACAGTTTCCCAGCCGGAATCAAATTTCTTCGGTTAGGGCTTGGTGGACGGCGAGTAGTTAGGGCCAATATAGTGTTCCTGGGTCCTCATTGGATCCGTTCCTCGAACACTTAGTGTATTTCCCTAAACCACCTATGAGCGCTTCACTCTAAAAAGACCTTCACTGATTGGATACTTTATCCTCACGTAGGACTTATTATCAGCCAATAGGAGGGCAAAAGCGACAGAGGCGTCAGGTCACCTGGGAAGAGTCTGCAGAGCCTTTGCCCGCCAGCGCCTTGGCTCTTTGGGTTCCTGAGTTAGTCCGGTTGTTTGCGATCGCGGCGGCCGGGGCTGCGAACCCAAGGCGCTCAGCGCCTCCTAGGTCTCTACCTCATCCGTAGGTGTGGCCCTGATGGTGCGGCAGGCTCTGGACTCCTAAAGCTCTGGAGCGGTATGTGGGGTCCACGGGCGGCAGACAAAGCAGTGGAGCCGGGAAGGCCGCGGGAAGCGGCCCCTGCACCGAGGCAGCGAATCCGCCTGGGAGGGGCGCCCCGCCTGCCTCTTGTCAGATCCAGTAGTGCGTCCCAGTGAGGCGCTTTAGCACGCTCTACCTCCACGTGTCCCGTGAATCTGTTAGCTTTGCTCACTTCTTCTCTGTCCCCCTCACATCCGACTTTTACTAACCCCAGCATTATTGATGGGTGTCATCTCATCTTTTCATCTCTCCAGGTTATTCTTTGGTAACTTTCTGTTAGTTTTGTGCACCTGCATGTCTCCTAAGAGCGGAAAGACATAGTTGTGTTAGGCTTAATTCAAGAGAGACCAGTGTTCCCATTTTTATATTTAAGACTGTATTTTGGGAGGGCGGGGGTAGGTACTCGTGAAGTTAGCAACTCCTTTGGTGGTACTTAGTGCACTGAAGTGTCAGGGCGGTGCAGAAGGTACCTCCAACACCTGGCAGGACAGATGTCCCCACATGAGCAAGTAATATTCTGGTTTGGTAATTGCTGGTGTTTGATTTTACCATTTCGCGTTCTTACTTTAATCTGATAACCGCTGAGGATTGTTATGTGAGATAACTGAGGCTCTGAGAACTTAACTTCTCAAAGTTACAGTTAACTCTTCGAGTAAGGGGAAAGTCAGATTTAATCTCAATGCTTATGTTATTTTTATCAAAGCCCACCTAACTGAATAAGGATTTAGGTTAAACGTATTCCCTCTGCAGCTCTTAGCATGTGAGAATTAAATCTTTGAATTGAATGGTGAATCTTGACTGTACGAGAAGGAAAACTCCTTCAGGCATCTGCCTAACTACAGGTGTCTCACATGTATCATCTAACTGCTTGCTTCTCAAAGTGTGACGAGTAGCTTAGGCCTCACCTGGAAGCTTGTTGGAAATGCAGAATCTCAGACTCTCCCACCTGCTGAATCAGTATTTGCTTTTTAACAGGAATCTTTAAGTTGCCAGAGTGCTCATTAAAGGATGAGGAGTATTCTTTGTCATAGAATGATTTGTTTGTCCAAGTTGAACTAAACAAAAGAGAAAGTAAAGGTATAAAAAGTTTTTTCACATTTTCATCATTTGTTAGTGAGGCTATGGCCTTTATTTTTATTTTTATTTTTTTGAGATGGAGTATCGCTCTGTGGCTCAGGCTGGATCAGTGGCGCGATCTCGGCTCACTGCAACGTCTGCCTTCCGGGTTCAAGCGATTCTCCTGCCTCAACCTCTGGAGTAGCAGAGGCCTTGGCCTCCCGAAGTGCTGGGATTACAGGCGTGAGCCACTGTGCCCGGCCTCTTATAGAGTTTATTATTATTATTATTATTATTATTATTATTATTATTATTATTTTGAGACGGAATATCGCTCTGTTGCCCAGGCTGGAGTGCAGTGCCGCAATCTCGGCTCACTGCAAGTTCCGCCTCCCGGTTTCACGCCATTCTCCTGACCCAGCCTCTCAAGTAGCTGGGACTGCAGGCACCCGCCATCACGCCCGGCTAATTTTTTGTATTTTTAGTAGAGGTGGGGTTTTACCGTGTGAGCCAGGATGGTCGTGATCTCCTGACCTCGTGATCCGCCCGTCTCGGCCTCCCAAATTTTATTATTTTGAGATGAGCTGTCACTCTGTCGAGCTCCCAGGCTCGGGTGATCCTGCCACCTCAGCTTTTGTATTTTTAGTAGAGATGGGGTTTTGCCATGTTTCCCAGGCTGGTCTTGAACTTCTAGGCTCAAGAGATCCACCCCTCTGGGCCTCCCGAAGTGCGTGGATTACTGGCCTGAGCCATGGCACCGGGCCATCTCACAGAGTTTTAGAGCTTAGCATTTTATTCATATGTTCATAGCCATGTTTAAAAGAGATGCATTTATACACCAGCATAAAGTTTTAGTGGCTCTTTGTTTTGGCAGCAGAAATCACATGGTATATTTATTAAAATGAGTATTGGGCTCTCTCTCCAAATACTCCTATTTAGGATGGGGATAGAGCCTAGGTCTTTGCATTTTAACAATAATCCCAGTTTATTCTGTTCAGGTCCCAACTTCTTGGTGTTAGCATTTTAGATAAAACACAACTAGAGAAAAACTTATTTTCTTTTGAACTTAATGCAGTACTCATTGTAGAAGAAGATAGGAAGGTTTTTTTTTTTTTTTAACTTACATTATGGTTTATTGGTTACTATAAAATTGCTCAGGTCAGTATATTTCAGATTATTTAATAATTCTCACGCCTGTAATCCCAGCACTTTGGGAGGCTGAGGTGGGCGGATCACCTGAAGTCAGGAGTTTGAGACCAGCCTGACCAACGTGGCAAAACCCCCTCTCTACTAAAAAATATAAAAATTAGCTGGATATGGTGGTGCATGCCTGTAGTCCCAGATACTTGGGAGGGTGAGGCATGAGAATAGCTTGAACCTGGGCAGCAGAGGTTGCAGAGAGCTAGGATCATACCAGTGTACTGCCTGGGTGACAGAGTGAGACTCTGTCTCGATTTAAAAAAAAGTAAAAAATCAATTCTTTTGGCCAGTGCAGTGGCTTATGCCTGTAATCCCAGCACTTTGGGAACCTGAGGTACACAGATTGCTTGAGCCCAGGAGTTTGAGACCTGCCCAGGCAACACAGCGAAATCCTGTCTCTACAAAAAATACAGAAATTAACTGGTTATGGTGCATATGCCTATAGTCTCAGCTACTCGGGAGGCTGAGGTGGGAGGATAGCTTGAGCCTGGGAGGTGGAGGCTGCAGCCCACTCTGTCGAACTCCCAGGCTCAGGTGATCCTCCCACCTCAGTTTTTGTATTTTTAGTAGAGATGGGGTTTTGCCATGTTGCCCAGACTGGTCTTGAACTTCTGGGCTCAAACGATCCACCCCACTGGGCCTCCCTCAAAGTGCTTGGATTACCAGCGTGAGCCATGGCACCTGGCCATCTTACAGAGTTTTAGAGCTTAGCGTTCTATTCATATGTTCATAGCCATGTTTGAAAGACATGCCTTTATACACCAGCATAAAGTTTTAGTGGCTCTGCCACTGCCATCCAGCCTGGGCAACAGAACGAGACCCTATCTCAAAAATAAAATAAAAATTATTTTGCACTTTGCCAAATTGGGCATATAGTGGGTAGGATAGACTGAATCCTGAAATATTCATTTAAAATCATTTTTTCCAACCTATGAAGATAGCCTTTTTTTTTTTTTTTTTTTTTTTTTTTTTTTTAAGAGACAGGGTCTTGCTATGTTGGCCATGCTGTGGTAAAGTGGCTGTTCACAGGCAAGATCAGAGCACACTGCAACCTTGAACTCTGGCCTCAAGCAGTCATCCTGCTTTAGCCTCCCGAGTTACTGCACCCAGCAAAGGCAGACATTTTTATCAAACAGCTTGAGTGTTTGTGTGAAGTTGATAAAATTAACACAGAAACATAATATGTATCTAATACATGAATTGGGGTTAGAGTTGTAACTTTTGTTTATCTGTTTTCAATTTCCTAACTGTTCTATTGCTATCTCATAAAATCTGCTTTGTGAACTCTGCAATCCACAGAAATACTGATCATTTAACAGAATTTAAGCAATGGCCAGGCGCGGTGGCTCACGCCTGTAATCTCAGCACTTTGGGAGGCCAAGGAGGGCAGATCACCTGAGGTCAGGAGTTCAAGACCAGCCTGGCCAATATGGTGAAAACCTGTCTCTACTAAAAATCAAAAATTAGCCGGGCATGGTGACAGGCACCTGTAGTCCCAGCTATTTGGGAGGCTGAGGCAGGAGAATCACTTGTACCTGAGAGGCGGAGGTTGCAATAAGCCAAAATTGCGCCACGCCACTACAGCCTGGGTGACAGTGAGACCCTGTCTCAAAAAAAAAAAAAAAAAAAAAAATTCAAGCAATGTGGTAGTTAGAAATGGATGTCAGAGTGACTTGCTATCATCAAGAATGTTAAAGTAAGAAAAATGAGTCTTAACTATGAGGAATTCTCTCCTGAAGTTTTACATAAAACCCTTGTAATTTGAGGGACAAATCACAGCTTCTGTCAGCTTTTCTTGCCTTCCTTTAAATGCCATGGGAAATGCAGTGACCACAGCTTCTGCCTCTGTTATACAGTAAACCCATGACATTGTCGGATTCAACCAAGCATGAATCGAAAATATTGTACAGTATTCTCAGGATTTGAAATCTATGGATATAGAGCACCAGCTGCATTAGCTAAGGTCTTTGATGGATCCTGTGCAGATGCTGATTGAGCCCACTCCTTATCAGTGCTATTTGAAGATTGGAAGGTTTTTTTGTTGTTGTTTATTTTATTTATTTATTTATTTATTTTTGATGGAGTATCACGCTTTTGCCCAGGTTGGAGTGCAATGGCGCTATCTCTGCTCACTGCAATCTCTGCCTCCCGGGTTCAAGCGATTCTCCTGCCTCAGCTTCCCAAATAGTTGAGATTACAGGCGCCTGCCACCATGCCCAGCTAATTTTTGTATTTTTAGTAGAGACAGAGTTTCACCATGTTGGCCAGGCTGGTCACAAACTCCTGACCTCAGGTGATCGACCCACCTTGGCCTCCCAAAGTGTTGGGATTACAGGCATGAGCCACTGCACCCTGCCAAAGATTGGAAGTTTTAGTCGTTTCGATTTTTGTTCATCCCAAAAGAACAGTAAAACTATATAACTTTTTTTCAGTATAGTTCCTACTGAATAGTTGTCTAATGGCTCCTTGAATGAGAATGGAACTCTCCAGTTTCAAGGCCAGCATTGTATGCAAAACGCCAACACTCAGAGTGTTTGGTTCTTTTTTCCCTGATTTATTGTAAAAAATTTGGTTGTAAATTGGTAATTTATAGTTGTATATATTTATGGGGTACAAAATGATGTTATGATTCATGAATACAAAGTGGAGCAATTAAATCAAGCTAGTTAACATCTATCACCTCATACTTATTTTTTGTGGTGAGACCACTTGAAATTTACTCACAACAGTTCTTCTCTGTTTTGCTTTTGAGACGGAGTCTAGCTTTATTGCCCAGGCTAGAGTGCAGTGGCATGATCTCAGCTCACTGCAACCTCCACCTCCCGAATTCAAGCAATTCTTTGGCCTCAGCCTCCCGAGTAGCTGGGATTCCAGGTTTGCGCCACCACGCCCGATTAATTTTTGTATTTTTAGTAGAGATGACATTTCACCATATTGGTCAGGCTGGTCTCAAACTTCTGACTTCAGGTGATCCACCCACCTTGTCCTCCCAAAGTGC